TCTGTATCTGGAAGTCCCACAGGATCTTCGCCCGCTCATTCTCCACCACCTTTGGAGGAGTTTCCCACTTAGACCTTGGGGTTTCCAGCCCATACTCTGCACAGATGTTTCTGTACACTATGCCAGCCACTTGGTTATGGCGTTCCATGTAGGCCTTCCCTGCCAGCATCTTTCACCCTGCAGTTATGTGTTGGATCGTCTCAGGTGCCTCTTTGCACAACCGACACCTTGGGTCTTGTCTGGTGTGGTATATCTGGGCCTCTATCGCTCTGGTGCTTAGGGCCTGCTCCTGTGCAGCCATGATGAGTGCCTCTGTGCTGTCCTGTAGGCCAGCCCTTTCTAGCCATTCGTAGGACTTCTTGAGATCAGCCACTTCTGTTATGCACTGGTGGTACATGCTGTGTAGGGGCTTGTTCTCCCATGATGGGCTCTCCTCCAGCACCTCCTCATCTCGCCACTGCCTGAGACATTCACTGAGTACGTCATCCGTTTTGGCCTTCTCCATGATGTAGTTATGGAGTTTGGATGTTTCGTCCTGGACAGTGGCTCTCACACTCACTAGTCCTCGGCCTCTTTCTTTACGGCTTACGTACAGTCTCAGGGTGCTGGATTTGGGATGGAACCCGCCATGCATGGTAAGAAGCTTTTGAGTTTTAACATCCGTGGTCTGAATCTCTGCCTTTGGCCACCTGATTATTCCTGCAGGGTATCTGATCACTGGCAGGGCGTAGCTGTTAATTGCCCGGGCCTTGTTCTTGCCATTGAGCCGGCTTCTTAGGACCTGCCTTACTCGCTGGAGGCATTTGGCAGTTGCCGCTTTCCTCGTCACCTGTTCGAGGTTGCCATTTGCCTGTGGTATACCGAGATACTTGTAACTTTCCTCAACGTCTGCTATTGTTCCCTCTGGGAGTGAGATCCCTTCTGTGTAGACTACCTTGCCTCTCCGAGTCACCATCCTGCTACATTTCTCAAGTCTGAATGACATCCCGATGTTATGGCTGTAGATCCTGGTGGTTTGGATCAGAGAGTCGATGTCTCTCTCGCTCTTGGCGTACAGCTTGATGTCATCCATGTAGAGGAGGTGACTGATCTTTGCTCCGTTCCTGAGGCGGTATCCATAGCCAGTCTGGTCAATTACTTGGCTTAGAGGGTTGAGGCCTATGCAGAACAGTAGTGGGGACAGAGCATCTCCTTGGTAGATACCACATTTGATGGTCACTTGTGCGAGCGGCTTGCCATTTGCCTCAAGGGTGGTCTTCCACATTCCCATTGAGTTTGCAACGAAGTCCCTTAGAGCCCTGTTGATATTGTACAACTTCAAGCATTCCATGATCCATGTGTGTGGCATTGAGCCGTAGGCTTTCTGGTAATCAATCCAGGCTGTGCACAGGTTGGTGTGTCGTGACCGGCAGTCTTGGGCGACTGTTCTGTCAACCAGGAGCTGGTGTTTGGCTCCTCTGGTGTCTCTACCAATGCCCTTCTGTGCTGTGCTCATGAATTGTTCCATATGCCCACTTATCTTAGCCGCAATGATGCCTGACATGAGCTTCCATGTTGTGGAGAGACAGGTTATTGGCCGGTAGTTGGAGGGGACTGCACCCTTGACAGGGTCCTTCATGATCAGGACCGTTCGCCCTTCGGTTAGCCATTCTGGGTGAGTCCCATCTCTCAGCAGCTGGTTCATTTGTGCTGCTAGGCGCTCATGGAGTGATGTGAGTGTCCTTAGCCAGTAGGCATGGACCATATCAGGGCCAGGTGCTGTCCAGTTTTTCATGCCTGAGACTCTTTCTCGGATGTCTGCCTCTGTGATGGTAACTGAGTTCTGTTCTGGGAGGTGGCTGTGCTCCTCTCTCAGGGAGACCAGCCATTGTGCACTGCTGTTATGTGCTGCATCCTTCTCCCATATGCTCTTCCAGAACTGTTCAGTTTCCAGCCTCGGTGGGTCTGCTCTCCTGTTTTTACCCTGCCACTGAGCGTACACCTTCGCAGGTTGTGTTGCGAACAGCCTGTTCACCCTTCTGGCTTCATTCTCTTTAGTGTACCTCTGTAGGCGGCTGGCCAGGGTTTGGAGCCTTTGTTTGGCAGTTTCGAGTGCTTCAGGTATGGTCATGTGGCTGTACTTTCTGGGTACTGGTCTTTTCATTGCACCTCTCTGGGCCTCTTAGCCTCCAACCATCTTTTCCATGGTGGGTATTGTCCATGGCTCCAATGGTTGCTCTTATAGCCAAGCATCTCTAGGATCACTGCTGCTGAAGTGTATATCAGCTCATTGGTTTCAGTGATTGTGGTGGTAGGTATTGCCCTCACTGCTGCATTCACGCTTTCTATGAGATCCTTAGGTGGTACTTCACACAACCGCTGTAACCGGTGTCTTACATATTAAATTTGTATTTAATCTGACAAAAAAAAAATTACACGGTCTGGATTTGAACCAGGAGTCTTCCACATGAGAGGCAGTTATAAAAGAAGTGGGCCACAGGCAAGTACAACTTCACTAAATGTAAACCACATGTTATACACAAAATTAGGTCTATGAAAAAATGTATGCAATAACTTGTATATAATTATTACCCAAACAACATTGATCAAACAACTTAAAGCACTTCTGACATTCTCCATGAAGTGTTATGTCCAAGGACCCAACATCAGCAGATGTCATTGGTAGTCACTGGGGATTTGAACTAGCAACCATTAGAAGCACAGACTTGTGCTTTTCCATCTGAGCCACTGGACCAGTAGCTCCACTAATGCTGCTTGTTGTGTTTTGTACAGGCTGCTTTCAACTGTATTTGTTGTCCACATGCCGTTTTAAACGCCATTTATCCCCCACATGCCGTTTTAAACGACATTTATTCCCCACATGCCGTTTTACACGCCATTTATTCCCCACATGCCGTTTTAAACGCTATTTATTCCCCACATGCCGTTTTAAACGCCACTTGTTGTACACATGCTGTTTTAAACATCATTTATCTCCCACATGCCGTTTTAAACGCCACTTGTTGTCCACATGCCGTTTTACACGCCATTTGTTGTGTACATGCCACTGATCAGCTGTGGCAGGTGCCGGTGCCACAAAAGGAGCCTGCCCTGTCTCCCTTCCAGGTCGCTCGCCAAAGGAATTAGAAGTGGACAAATCAAAAAATTTACTAAATATTTCAGAATGTATTGATTATTTTTATTATCTATTTTACGTTTTTCACAAGTAATGAATATGTGATGGTAAATAATGACTGTTGACAAAATGGTTACCTGATATCAGGCTCACGCTCCCCCAGATGTCACCTCCTTTCTCCCAGGACCTCCTAAAGAAGTAGCTCTCATTGTTTTTCATCTTGGGTAAGTAGCTTTCTGGGTGAAAAAGGTTGGGAACGCCTGCTCTATACCATTATAAAGAAGCAAATCTAAAATCTCCAAATGTAGCGTGATGAATAAACAAGAAGAAAGTATATAATATCTGACTTTAGCATAATGAGTTGTAGTCAATATCTTTAGCATAATAATAATCTTGCTAATTAGATAGATAGATACTTTATTGATCCCTGTCGGAGAAATGCAGGTGTCCAGTAGCAGCAAACATAAATAATAAAATTAAATTCGATCGTTCAAAAAAGCTAACAAAAGTTATAATCAGCAACAGCCCTTCAGGTCACAGCAGCAGAGGTGGAGTAGCCTCTGGGTGGAGCAGGACAGGTCACAGGATTTTCTCTGCTCTAGTCCAAAGTAAAATGCTGAATGGTTCATTTGCATTTTGCAAAAAGTTAGCATTCCTCCAGTGGATTTTCATCTGATTCACTTGGTTCGGACCATGAATCCCTGGTCTGGACCAGTGTAAAACCATGAACACCATGAAGAAGAAAAAAATTTATAAAGCACAACAACAACAACAACTGTGTCAGAGCTACTTAGGACCTGTTGCCGTTTTCCAGTGCATTCTAAAGTAATCACCTTGTTAACATGACCACGCCTACTCAGGAAGTAACACCAGCGGATAAATGACACGTCAACACGGAGTATGGCACAACTGCAAACCTACCAAGACACGGACATCTGCCCAAACTCGCAGCTCCAACAAGGACAACACCAACCACAGATGCAACCACAAGGCCCATGGTTACTTGGTGGAAGCTGCAGAGATCCACCGCTTGTCAACATCAAACATTACATGCAGCGATTACAGACCACTGACTTTGGCCATCACAGCCCTGTTTCCACCAGCCATGCTCTACTCTACTCTACTGTCTACTCTACCGTTTACTCTTGTCTCTACTCAACTCGACTCGACTCGACTAGACTCTTCTCGACTAGACTCTACTCTACTCTACTCTATTGTCTTCTCTACTCTACTCTACTGTTTACTCTACTCTAGTCTAGTCTCTACTCTACTGTTTACTCTACTCTATTCTATTCTCGACTCGACTCGACTCGACTCTATTCTCTACTCTGCTCTTTTCTACCTTACTATACTCTAGTCTGGTCTAGTTTCTACTCTACTCTACTCTACTCTACTTTACTCTAGTCTAGTCTAGTCTAGTCTAGTCTTGTCTCTACTGTACTGTCTACACAACTGTCTACACGACTATACTCAAGTCTACTCTACACTACTCTACTCCACTTTACCCTACTATACTCTACTCACTCAACTCGACCCTACCCTACCCTACCCTACTCTACCCTACCCAACCCTACCCTACCCTACCCTACCCTACCCTACCCTACTCTACCCTACTCTCCTCTATGCTACTGTGTGCAGTTTTGCAAATGTCCAGCAGATGGCGAACATTTCTATTGTTTTAGTGCGTCCAGAACCCTGAGGCCTTTGGTTTTAAGTCATTCTCCAGGTTTCAAACTCACTCCTGCAGGTTCTATGGGAAGCCACAAAGCATCATGGGTAATGTGTAAGTATGGAACAGACTTTAGAGGATGAGAGGGTCTTCACTTCAAAAGTACCGAGAGTGAAGTTTGTTCTTTGTTGATCGTTGCAGCTTCACAACAACACGATGACTCACCTGCAGTTATTTATAGCCACAAAGACGCTGCTGAGGCCACGGTTCATTTTCCTCCAGTTTCGCGGTAATTACACGACAGAGTGGACTAAACGGATTCCACAGAGGACGCTAACGTGATTATACTTAAGACTTTGATGGAGTAGATGTGATACAGCTGCAGCACAGGGACTTTGGGAGAAATACACAGATATTTATAATCCAAGAAGTTTCAAAAAGGTCTCAAGTTATTGCTGTGATGGTTAAAACAGCAACTGCTGTTCGCCTTGTGTATTGTAAAATTAGCCAAATATTTTTTTCAAACGTATATTTTTCATACAGCAAAAACACGAGACAGAAGCACAATTTAAATACATATAGTTCCACATTTGTAAACCCACTCTTCAATAAAAAGTCCAGTTTTGTTACAATCCGAGCGGCTGGACTCAGATTGTTTCTAGAAATATGTAAGAATTATATCAAACTACACCTAAAATGTATTTTACAGTATTCAGTTACTTTGGAAATTAGTACCTGCATTCCGAATACTTAGAATGATTGTATTTATATTATTATAATAATAAGGTTATTATTATTTTAATTTATTGTAAATTGATGAAACCTTCATGTTTCTTTAAAATATTTTTGTTTGTTTGTTGGACTGTATTTGAATCAGTAGCACTTTGAGGTTTTCTGGAAATGTGAGGTGCAGTTTAAATAGAAATAAAAGAGAGAGAGAGACCGGAGAGAGAGACCAGAGGAAGACTAGAGGGAGACCAGAGGGAGACCAGAGAGGTAGACCAGAGAGAGAGACCAGAGAGAGACCTAAGAGAGAGACCAGAGAGAGACCAGACAGGGAGACCAGAGTGAGGGAGTCCAGAGAGAGAGAGAGAGAGGGAGACCAGAGCGAGAGAGACCAGAGAGAATTTTAAAAGAGATTTTTTTTTTGTATTATAGTATTATTTCAGATTGTATTATTCATGATCAGTATTTATCATTGTAAATCCACTAGCTTTTATGTGAAATTCCCACATCAGGCTCGTTCTCACCAAAATATCAGGATTATTAAAGGAGTTGCTCTCTGGGTGAAAAAGTTTGGAGACACCTGCTGTAGACTTTTCTGTTCTCATGGCCATAGTTCCTCATCTGTCAATCATAACTCTCTCTCTCTGTTGAATAAATCTCTCCCTCTCTCTCTCTGTTGAATAAATCTCTCTCCCATAGACGACTCAAACAGGTGTCCGGAGAGCGTCCTTTTGAGCCCAGAGCACTTTTGACGAGCGCTTTTTAAATCTGTAAAGTCCATCTGTGCTCGGAGCGCCATAAAACTGCACTCAGCAGAACAAACACCAGAGACCTGCTCTCGCTTGGCGCTAAAAGCTTTTCTGAATTAACACAAATAAAAGACTTCGGGCGAGATACTATTGTGAAAGAAAAGTCTCTTCAACTCGAGATTCTGAAGATGATGAAAGAAAGAGACGTTTGTGAGGTTTGGGTCTTCACTGTGGACTTCAAGTAGTGTTGGGGGGTTTTTCTGGTCTCTCTCTGGTCTCTCTCTGGTCTTTCTCTGGTCTCTCTCTCTGGTCTCTCTCTCTGGTCTCTCTCTGGTCTCTCTCTCTGGTCTCTCTCCGGTCTCTCTCTGGTCTCTCTCAGGTCTCTCCTTGATCTCTCTCTGGTCTCTCTCTCTGGTCTCTCTCTGGTCTCTCTCTCTGGTCTACCTCTCTGGTCTCTCTCTGGTCTCTCTCTCTGGTCTCTCTCTGGTCTCTCTCTCTGGTCTCTCTCAGGTCTCTCCCTGATCTCTCTCTGGTCTCTCTCTCTGGTCTCTCTCTGGTCTCTCTCTCTGGACACTCTCTGGTCTCTCTCTCTGGTCTCTCTCTGGTCTCTCTCTCTGGTCTCTCTCAGGTCTCTCCCTGATCTCTCTCTGGTCTCTCTCTCTGGTCTCTCTCTGGTCTCTCTCTCTGGACACTCTCTGGTCTCTCTCTCTCTGGACTCTCTCTCTGGTCTCTCTCAGGTCTCTCCCTCTCTCTCTGGTCTCTCTCTCTGGTCTCTCTCTGGTCTCTCTCTCTGAACACTCTCTGGTCTCTCTCTCTGGACTCTCTGGTCTCTCTCTCTGGAGTCTCTCTGGTCTCTCTTTCTGGACACTCTCTGGTCTCTCTCTCTCTGGACTCTCTTTGGTCTCTACTTCAAGGATTTCGCTTTTTACAGGATATTTCTAGAACACATTACCCCTGCAATAAACCAGGGAGCACTGCCCTCCACACCTGCCCTTCACACTGCCCTCCACACCTGCCCTCCACACTGTCCTCCACACCTGCCCTTCACACTGCCCTCCACACCTGCCCTCCACACTGTCCTCCACACCTGCCCTCCACACAGCCCTCCACACCTGCCCTCCACACCTGCCCTCTACACTGTCCTCCACACCTGCCCTCTACACTGTCCTCCACACCTGCCCTCCACACTGTCCTCCACACCTGCCCTTCACACCTGCCCTCCACACAGCCCTCCACACCTGCCCTTCACACCTGCCCTCCACACTGCCCTCCACACCTGCCCTCCACACCTGCCCTCCATACTGTCCTCCACACCTGCCCTCCACACTGTCCTCCACACCTGCCCTCCACACCTGCCCTCCACACTGCCCTCCACACCTGCCCTCCACACCTGCCCTCTACACTGTCCTCCACACCTGCCCTCCACACTGTCCTCCACACCTGCCCTCCACACCTGCCCTCCACACTGCCCTCCACACCTGCCCTCTACACTGTCCTGCACACCTGCCCTCCACACTGTCCTCCACACCTGCCCTCCACACCTGCCCTCCATACTGTCCTCCACACCTGCCCTTCACACTGTCCTCCACACCTGCCCTCCACACCTGCCCTCCACACTGCCCTCCACACCTTACCTCCACACCTGCCCTCTACACTGTCCTCCACACCTGCCCTCTACACTGTCCTCCACACCTGCCCTCTACACTGTCCTCCACACCTGCCCTCCACACTGTCCTCCACACCTGCCCTCCACACCTGCCCTCCACACCTGCCCTCCACACTGCCCTCCACACCTGCCCTCCACACCTGCCCTCTACACTGTCCTCCACACCTGCCCTCCACACTGTCCTCCACACCTGCCCTCCACACCTGCCCTCCACACTGCCCTCCACACCTGCCCTCTACACTGTCCTCCACACCTGCCCTCCACACTGTCCTCCACACCTGCCCTCCACACCTGCCCTCCATACTGTCCTCCACACCTGCCCTCCACACTGTCCTCCACACCTGCCCTCCACACCTGCCCTCCACACTGTCCTCCACACCTGCCCTCCACACCTGCCCTCCACACTGCCCTCCACACCTGCCCTCTACACTGTCCTCCACACCTGCCCTCCACACTGTCCTCCACACCTGCCCTCCACACCTGCCCTCCATACTGTCCTCCACACCTGCCCTCCACACTGTCCTCCACACCTGCCCTCCACACCTGCCCTCTACACTGTCCTCCACACCTGCCCTCTACACTGTCCTCCACACCTGCCCTCTACACTGTCCTCCACACCTGCCCTCCACACTGTCCTCCACACCTGCCCTCCACACCTGCCCTTCACACTGCCCTCCACACCTGCCCTCCACACCTGCCCTCCACACCTGCCCTCCACACCTGCCCTCCACACTGCCCTCCACACCTGCCCTCCACACCTGCCCTCCACACCTGTCCTCTACACCTGCCCTCCACACCTGCCCTCCACACCTGCCCTCCACACCTGTCCTCTACACCTGCCCTCCACACCTGCCCTCCACACCGCCCCCTGCTGTCAGTGTTATGTCGCAGCAGAGGCTGTAGTGATGACAGCCTCTGCTGTGGGTTATTTCTGTCACTAACAAAGGTAAACATGACACTCTCCCTGAAGAGACAGAGGAGAGACTGAAATAACCAGAGACAGAGAGGGAGAGAGAGATAGAGAGACAGATGGAGAGAGAAAGAGAGAGACAGAGAGAGAGGGAGCGACGGTAAGAGAGAGAGAGGGAGGGAGAGAGACAGAGACAGAGATAGAGAGAGAGAAACAGAGAGACACAGAGAAACACAGAGAAACAAAAATACAGAGTGAGAACAAGAGAGAGAGATAAAGAGACATTGAAAGACCGAGCAAAAGAGAGGAGAGAGAGATGGAAAGAGAAAGAGAGGTAGAGAGAGAGAGGGAGGGGGAGCTTCAAAGCTTCAGATCAGAGAAAGTGAGCACAAAGAGGACATTCATCAGTCCAGGTGTAAAACTGAGAAAAAAAAAAAGAGTTCAGTGGTGTTTCCAATGTAAAAACTGGATCAATAATAACTGTCTTGACTGGCATCGGGTTTATCGGGCAAAAGAAATGATGCATAATGAGTGCATTCAGTCCTGGATCAATCACGGAAAAATAATTCATTATTATTTTAAAATCAGATGCAACACGCCGGGTTTTAAGCTCAGTCCTGGATCTACAGCCTCAGTCCTGGATCTACAGCCTCAGTCCTGGATCTACAGCCTCAGTCCTGGATCTACAGCCTCAGTCCTGGATCTACAGCCTCAGTCCTGGATCTACAGCCTCAGTCCTGGATCTACAGCCTCAGTCCTGGGTCTACAGCCTCAGTCCTGGATCTACAGCCTCAGTCCTGGATCCACAGCCTCAGTCCTGGATCCACAGCCTCAGTCCTGGATCCACAGCCTCAGTCCTGGATCCACAGCCAGCATTGAACAGTTCAGTTTTTGTTATTTGTGTAAACAGTGATTATTGGGGCTGCATTCTGGTCTCAGCAGATGAGTCATCGGCTGTTCTCCCAAACCTGCCCCCTCCCTCCCCCTCTCCTTCCCCCTCTCCTTCCCCCTCTCCCCCTTCTGCTCCACATCAGCCTGCCTTACATAAACCCGACATCGCCCTCACACTAAAGCCTCTCTGAACTAATCTTGAAATCACAATTTGACAAAGTCTAATTGTCTGCAGTAAATCTATGATAACGATCCATACATTAATTTATTCACTTTTAATCCAGTTCATGTATAAATAATGTCAAAACAACACGCTTATCTTGTTTATATAATTATCAGTGATGTTCTGCTTCGAATCCATAAACTAAACATGAGGCCATTTGTTTGTCTTTTCATGTACAGCACTTTCAACCGTTGATTTTGTGCTGGATTGGAAACCTAGAGAGACATCTAAAACCTGAAACTGTCACTATTTTATTGTGTTGTTATTATTTATGATTTGAATGCCTTTGTGTGACTGTCTCTATCTTGTGTCGTTCAGCATTTTCAGATCTCTTGTGTATAAACTGTGCTATACAATTAAACTTGCCTTCAGACGGACAAGGCTAAGTTTTCCCTAATTTCTCTCTGGTTCCAATACACGTCAATGTAAAAACAAACTGCTCTATCTCAGTAACTGTTTATGTCACACTCACTATTTTGGGTTTGAAAATCTGTGGTTTAGCGCTCTCTGTGATCCTGGTGTTTTTATTTAGAAATTGTCTTTGTAAATCCATATATGAGCCATGGACCAATCAGACGCCTTGGGGTCCACTCCTGCTTCCCTTAGCAACCGTCTTAGCAACAGCTGTTACAGCGCAGAAGAAACAGTGTGTGCAAAGAAAATTTGCTCCTATAGGTTTCTTCTTTACTCTCACTGGATTTTTAGGGTTTTTCTTGCTGATGATGCAGAAGGGTCTAAGAAGGGAGAGAGAGAGAGAGAGAGAGAGAGGGAGAGAGAGAGACTCATAGGTTGACTTTGCTCAAAGTTTTGAGATAAACTAACTGATTCACTTGGTTCCAACCACGAATCCTCTCTGCGCTGGTCTGGACCAGTGTAAAATCATGAATCCTCTCTGCGCTGGTCTGGACCAGTTTGAAACCATGAACACTGAACTGCAGCAACATCTCAGGCAGAAAAAGCAATAAAAATAAAAATTATAAATCACAAAAACTGTTAAAGAGACACTTTGGACTCGCTGCTGTTTCCAGAACCTTCCAAAGTAAAGAAGAAATGATCCAGGACTTTCCACATTCAAACACATTTATGGCTCTGAGTGTATTTTTAACATCACTGCATTTCTTGTGTTTGAACTGTCTGATTTTCTGATCTGTCGTTGACGAATCGACAGCTTTGTAAAGTCCTTTGAAAAATATCTACTGTTGTGATTTAGGACTCTACACAATCCTCTCTCTGTAAAACCGTTCAAACCCAAATGTCCTGTAAATGAATCAACATGAGGTCACTGTTGTGGACTCTCTCCTCCTCTTCCCACAATGCATCAGTCCAGTCCCGGGGCTCAGGAGCAGATGGACTGAAGCCTCCCATATTCCTGTGTGATCCATTACAAGTCTGTCCCTCCATCATCGCCCACGGCAACGGCGAGACCAACAACCGGCTACTCTCGGTGAGGTCGTAGACGGAAAAAACGGTTAAGTCTGGTTTCCATCAGCGCTACTTAGACTTAGACTAGACTTAGACTAGACTTAGACTTAGACTTAGACTAGACTTAGACTTAGACTTAGGCCCCGTTTATACAGAGGCGCTGCGCAGACATTCCCAAGCTATTAACAGTAGGGAAAGAGCGCCCCCTACTGAGCAGCGTATCTGAGCTGTCCCACTCTGAGGCTGGATCTGAACACTTACGTTTTCAGCTGGAATGCAGTCTCCATGGAAACGGGAGTAACAACCGACACCAACTCTAGCTTTTTACTGCCGCAGCGTCTCAGTCTAAACAGGGCCTTAGACTTAGACAGACTTAAAGGCGCTATACCCGTTTCTCCAAGGTTTGAATGTTTAGCACCGCTCCCTGACTCCCTCAATGGCTTCTCATTTCCCCTACGCTCTCATAACACAGAGCCATCTAGCTCAATTTGTGATCTGATACATATGCTAACATTAGCATTAGCGCAACTTCTTGTAAGCTGTACAACAATCACTGATGAAATAGTACTAAAGCAACGCACTGCTAACACAATATATAGGTAAAAGAATACCGCTAGTTTTGCATCTGAATGTATTCATTTAAACATTAGAATATATTTGAATATCTAATTATAATTTATTATACAGCTCCTCACAGCAGCAGTAGAACACTCCATTGACTTGAATGTAATTCTACCGATCATTTTTTCTTGATAACAGAACTCTCAAACCAATAATGACCGCTGCCCTTTGGCAACGCAATCTCTGTTTGTAATTCAGGTGTGTAAAATACTAACATTACTCTGCAAGTACAACAAGCTATCAGCGCCTGTCACTACACTGTGCAGCTTATCTGCACACGGATTTCTGTGCAGAGAAGCTAGCGGAGCTAGCGATGCTCAATAAACAAATACATATCAATCAATCAACACCATTGAACGTTAATCGGAGAATACATTATACAGATACATCCTTAACACACATGCACGGACGTTTTCAGAATTTGGTGTTAACGTTTTCATGACAAAATTACTATTTTAATGTGACAAAAAGCGATCGCGAAAAACCCGGAAGTAACCATTAACATGAAACGAACATTTTAGGACACATTTGAGGAGGATCTGATGGATTTAGGTTCGGTATATAAATGGGTAACTCACCGCTGATGTTCAGAATTCTTTGTTCAGTTTTCATGTAGTTCTAGAGTTTTTGAACTAGCTAGCTTAGTTAAAAAACTAACTAAAACTTAAGCTTCTTTAAGTTTAGATATTCCTTTCTAGGTGTCACAGTGGGGACATTCAGATTGATCCAGAGTGAGTGCGTTGTCACAGAAGCTCACATATATTTCACAATAACAACAACAATAAAGTCACAATCTGAAAATAAGAATAATAAGATAATTTTGTGAGAATAGAATAATCTGGATATAAGGGCTCAGGAATATACATGTCTGTGAATGTGTGAATATTTACATTTACAGCAAAACATACACAGATAATGGGATATTTGGATCTACTCCATTTTTGTGTAGCTCCAACAGTAGTTTTCTCAGAGGACTGTTGATTCGCCAACACAGATTAGAGAATCAAACCGTTTAAACACAAGAAATACAATATTGGAAGAAAAGAAACACATTGGTCCAAAAGTAAAACTCTGGTGTATTTTCATTTCCCACATGTACGACTAACAACTCATTATTATCCTTTTTCTTTTCTTTTTTTTGTCTTGTGTTTGTCTGCTCTGTTTTGGGGTTGTACTTTTGTGGTTTTGTTTTTATGTTTTTGGATGTGTCTGTTAAAAAAGAAAAACTTCAGTACCGCATTATCATTATGATTACTATTATTATTATTCTTTATTATTTTATTAAGCAGAATTGTATAAGCAATGCATATGGGGCGGCACGGTGGCTGAGTGGATAGCACTCTCGCCTCTCAGCAAGAAGGTTCTGGGTTTGAATCCCGGTTGGAACAGGGCCTTTCTGAATGGAGTTTGCATGTTCTCCCCATGTCTGCGTACGTTTCCTCCGGGTGCTCTGGTTTCCCCTACCACTAAAAACATGTGCAGTAGTTCAGGGTGAATTTGTGTGTGAATGTGGGACAGCGGATGGAAACACACACACAATTGTACTGTTTATGTTTGTTGTTTAACCATTTGTATTGTGTCTGTGTTGGAATTTATAAATAAACCAATTTTTAAAAATGGTTGAGGAAACTATGAAAGGGTTGAAACCAGATTCTCCAATGGTCGGCACTAGATCATGAACGGAATCGGGACGAAACCGGAAGTAACAATCCTACTTTTGAATTAGTTTTAGACTACAAAAGTCCTTAAGTGGTGACTGGTTAAGTTTTAGGCGTCTGAGTAAGATGGTTACGGTCAGGGTTAAGGTGGTATGAGTAAGATGGTTAAGGTTAGGGT